GAGCAGTTTCTTCTGATTCCTATCCAAAGCACCTTCTGTACACTAATCCTTTACTATTATTATACTCTGCTCGGTTACAGAGCTTCTCTTATAGTGATGGATCTTAGAAGAGTAGTTTCTTCTAATTCCTATCCAAAGCAGCTTCTGTGTCCTAATCCTTTACTATTAATGTACTCTGTTCGGCTACAGAGCTTTTGTTATAGTGATAGTAAGCAATAATTTTAAGCGTTAAGTATTAGGTCAAGTGTGTTCTCATCATGGGTAGCCTATGGTTATTTTGGACCTGACTAGAAGGCTGTCAGATCACACATGAGTAAAATTTGTAGTACAGTCATCTTTCTCTGAAAGTCTGAAGAAAGCGAGTTATACGTTACTGAACTTGCTGATATTTGCGAAGACATTTGTAATATAGTAGCTTTACTTACTAGATTACAAGTGCCTGCCCAAAAGGTTAATGTCTAATGCTAGTATAATTCCTTTTCCTCATAATGAATGGTAAATAAAGGACTCTAGATCTTGTCTTAACCTCGGATAATCCTGGAAAAAGATCATTTTATAATCCCATGCTTGAAATGCAAATCTTGATTCTTTACATCAAGCTTTTGCGAATATTCTTCTCTGTCTTTACTCACAGCCAAAAATATTAAATGCACATGTGAATTTTAAATACACAAATTCCAGAAGAAAGCTACGGAGGTTTTTCCTTGGAAATGTAAACGAAAATAAGAATTCTTAATTTGTACATGCATTATGTATGCATATCAACTCAGTACAAGTCTGTGAGCTTTTAAGTTCTTCTAATAGATGTTATGCTGGCATAAATATATATTTCGAAGCAAAGCAATTGGTTTTATTCGAAAATAAGCAATTTAAAATTTGTCTTTAGTGGCAAGGTTTATTTTTCAGCTTTATACGTGAACGTACTGAAAAGGAAAACAGGAAGATAGGATTTAATACTTTCCTATGAACGGAAAACATTCTTCATATTCATTCATCCTTTGTAGAAAAGGCTAATGCTTCGAATGTATGTATAAAACAAAAATATAAATGAATGAATTTAAAGATGTAATTTTGATGTTATGTTTTCCAGCTACACCGCGACATTAAAATGCAAAATTGATAAAATAGAATGATCTATAAAGAGGCTAGATCTTCGTCTTGATTTCTGTTGCACATAATTCATAAAGTGATCACGTAGCTAAAATAATCACAAAGAGTTAGATCTTTTATTTCGCGTTGTATTTTATTAAATATTTATTAATATTTTATTAATTATTCAATTAATTAGGCTTTTGATTAGTTAAGACTAACGAAATTTAAACCCTTTCAATGATTCTTGAATGTTTTAATTTGATGTTTGATTTGTAATGATACTGTGATTTGTTTTATAGATCCAAAATAACATATTTTACTTCCTTAAATGCATCTAAAACACTCCAGATATAGCATGAAAAATGAATAAAATCTCTGAGAAAACATTTAATTAAAATACATGGACAGTAAAGGAAGACATGAACCTTTCCAAAACTGTGCTTTAATATCCTAATGCAAGGTGAGCAACGTGTGGTAAGATATGTTTATTTAACGTATGCCTTTATTATAAAATATTTAATTAATTAAATATTGTGAAACAAAAAATGTTTAATAAACTGAAAATTACCTTAAACTGAAGAAATTATGACATAATCACGAATAAAATTAATTCACATATGATTTTTTGTTCGAAATGCTTACACGTAATTAGATATATATGTGCTGTATATTTTGTGTCGAAATTTTCACAAAGATAACTGAAGTTTGAACTTTGATATTACTGAATACTGGCACATTATTGCTAATGATCTGCTTGATGCCTTTTGAGGTATATGTTTTGCAAGATTTTTACAAGCTGCCGGAAAATTCTTTGATTTGATTAAAGTAATATTACCATTTTTAATTGAAAGAGGATCTTCGTTTTCTTTTGAAATGGAAACACTTCTAATTTTGTCTTGACTGAATAATATAAGAAAATTGGAGCTTGTAGGAAATACAAATTTTTTTAAAAAGTTAAAAAAACATTTTATTAGTTTAAAATGCAAGCAAAGGAAAATTATTTAATACTATTCATTGAGCTCTATTGAGGATTTCATAATAAATATTTGACATTCGGGAAGGTAAATAAAAATGCACGAAAATGGAAGTTATAGTTGTGAGGTTTTCCTTGATCTGCTGAAAGTTGATTAGCTCAAAATCCCTAACAGACGTGAGGCGTATTGTCACTATGTACGAAAGAAACTTCAGAGTAAGGGAAAGGTTTAAATTAAAATTTCAGAATTTTGCTGTTTTGCAGCTGAGAATGGTGGTTCGGTAAAACCATCGAAACTACTCCTGTGAAAATTATGAAAATATAACGATGATTTTTGTTGTTTGACTTCTGAATTAACACTTTTGATGTTTCACGTGTTAATGAACAGTCAATTTCATTAAAATGTAGACTAGTAGTCAAAGACTACACAAGTTAAATCGTATTCTACGGTGAGAGTAAATTTATTGGCGTATCAAATTTAAATGTCCGCGGCGATGAAACGAAGGTAATTACTGCATATAAGAGCTGGCAGAAACTAAACGTTGCGTGCAGGTGCATGCCAATAGCATGCTCTATCTTAAAATCGAAAAGCCTCAGTTTAAATATTATTTATACTCATTTACGTTCTGATGAGGGAACGGAAGCATCGAGATCTGTTTCGAGAACATTTGGGCTAACGTCCGTTTGGGCTAAAACTATTTAAAAACAGTTAAAAGTTTAGAATTTCTGATAGACAATCTCATGCGAAGGAAATTAAAATGCTTTATTCCGTACAGTGTTGTCACTGCTTGCTTTGAAATCTTTCAGTCTTTTAATTAAATATTTATTAAAGTTTCAAACATATGAAATGGATAACAAACCGATTTGAAATTAAAATTTCGATATTTTAGGTGCCAGTATTCGAATGAAAGACTGCATTATTCAAAAGTTGATAGATCTTGGTACAGTTATTGTTTCACAAAGAGAGAAACACACATACATTCCCGCAGATTCTTCAATATTTAATTTCTTTAATTATAATAAAGGACGATAATATTTGGTGACAACAATTTGAAAAGTTATTCAACGTCTTTACTAATTCGATGCGAAACACCCCTTCGAGACTAAAACCTTTCCTGGGCTAATGCCCTTTTGAGCTAATAATAAACGTTCACACTATATAAACACAGATATCTTTCTAATTTTACTTCATTATAAACATAAAATGTTTAAATTAATTTCTAATTTTGTTACTAAAATACTAAACAAGAATTGAATTTTCAGACAACAGTATTCATTAAGTTGCTAGTGTCTTCGCCTTGGGTAGTTTGTATTTCATTAAATACTGAGGAACTAACAAAACTCTACTCAGAGGACTTCACCGAAAGCTTCACAACTAACTGGCGATTTCTTCGGTCTGCATTTATTTATTTATTTATTGAAAAAACATTAGGAGATTTTATAGTTGCCAATATGGATTTAAACTCTAATGGTGACTATCAAACCTTAAACTTTTGTTATCCAGTAATGAAAGGAAGCTGGTTAGTCACTTAGGCACATGTACCCAGAGAACATTTCTCCCCCTCCTTTCCCCAAACATTTAAGCACATAAAAATTAGGTAACAGGAATCATATGGTTACTGAAAGTAAAGTTTGCGTTACTTCTAAAGTACAAAACTGGTGATAAAATGTATTTTTGCTGATGAATAGGAAAACAATTAAATGTAAATTCTCTGAACATCTCTTTTAACTACAGTTTTGCGTTCAACTTTGAACCAATTGAAAAGGGAAATTTGGACATCTTGCACCCAAATTCCTAGTTCTCAGCACTATATTTCATCTTCAAAACATCCACTCTCGTGGGAGCTGAAATAATAAATTAAAAGCTAGAAGACGTACGTATATAAATAAATCTCGAACATTTCTCCGAAATAATTGCTTTATATATTTTGTAATGGCAGTAAATCGTATGCTTCCATTTTCTCAGCGCAAATTAAGTTAATGAACTTCTGTCACGAGATCGATTTTCAAAAATTCAATTGATTAAATGAATTGGAAGGTACTTGTCATTAAACTGCGTTTACTAAACTGTCCTTTTTCAAATTCCTAATAAATTATCCCTGACAAATTAGACTTTTAACCAAAATACAGTAAAAAATTCATCTCCTGCAAGAGTCTTCTCCTGGGTTATAAAGGTAATCATGTTAGTGTGCAATAATCTTCAAATGTCAAGAAAGACGATCGAACTAGAGTCGGAATTAAAGCTTCCCATTTCTAATGCCCACATAAGCAGCAAAAAAGACGAGAAAAATAAGCAGCAAAAAAGACGTTAAACTGAAAAATTTTAAACCGTAATTTTTTTCTGGTTTCGAAGAAGGGAATTCTTTCATATTTAGGATAAAATTATCGAAAGCTTTTATTCCTTCTACCTCTGTAGCAAACATGTGCTTTTCTTTGGCCCGTTCCTCCGATTGAAAATACATTTTTTTGAGTGATCAACAATCTGATTCACGATCTTACAAAGCATTTCATGCGTATATACAGTACATTACAGCAGCAAATGCAACTCAAGGGACAAAGTGGCTGATTATTTGGCTTAAAGACTTAGGATTTAAAGAAAACCTACCAGTTATTTCTATGAAAATAATAAATCATGGATCAAACTTTCAAGAATACATAATTCTAGAAACTAACGCATATAAATATCGAATATTATTAGGAATCATTATGTATCATAAGTAATTGCCATACTACTTACTTACTTAGGATAAGAATTATCATTATCTGTCAGTTATACGGGAAAACAAATAATACTACCTATTTTGGATATTCATATGCACTTTATAGATTCATCACTCATGGCAATAATTATTACTTTCCTATGGCAATATGTTTCAAAAATATTTTTCGTGCATTGCTCTTGAACATATATACATATAAACTTATAATAAATTTCTTATTCCATTTTGGAAAGGATTTTCATGAAACACTCACCATTTTCGCAATTTTCTCCAAAAAATCCAGGCTCACAGCTACATTTGTAAGTTCCCATTTCAATGCTGCAGTTACCATTGTTCTCACAAGGTAGTAAGCTACATGGACCTAGGAAAAAGCATTGTTAAATGTTTCAGCAATGATTTCATTAATATGTATCTAAGATTTAGAATTTATGCGCCAAATGATGTTCGAAACAGGGAATGATGCTCTCATTGTAATAATCATATTAATTTCTTTATATTTTTATTTTGGTGGTATTTATTCTTTTCCATTCTTTAGATACCCAACTTTATATACATACCTGCTTGCGTTAGTCTTCTTATTCAAATTAAAATAACGTATTTTCATTTTTTCCAATAACAATTCTGAAAATAACTATTGTTTGTATTAACTAACGGTCTTTATCGAGTTTATTTTTTTAACTCCATTATATTAAACACTTTTAAATAATTGACTCATAATTTATTTTTTTTTATTTTTAAAACAAAATGCAGTCGCACAGACGTAGGGTGGTTAGGGGAGAATACTCCGGTACCAAAGGGCCTGGGTTCGAATCCTGAAGGAGATATGTATGTTTGTAAATGTATAGTGTCCGTGCGGCATGGGGACATTTTAAACATGCGATAAGCAAAACGTCCTCTCGCGTGGCTTAGTGGAAGAGAAGAGGAGTGGGAGATGCCTGAACTCCGCCCCCCCCGTGGTGCTCTTCCTCAAAATTGGGGTGGAAAATAGAAGTCCATCCTCTCTTTGAAGCAGCCTCTGGCAACCATTCTTCCATGTAATATGGACTCCACAACAACAGAAAAACAAAATACACAATTATATCGCTATTTTTGATTTGGTAGTTAATATTTAAAAGCACTAAAGCACATTAATCAGCTATTGCTAATGGGCATTGGTTAAAATGTGTTACTTGCTAATTTGGTTAAATTTATTTTCTTCTATAAATTTCAAAAGGAAATTTTATCAAGAGAGAGTGGACTAATGCAAATAGAATATTTTACTCTATCAGTGACTGTAGGCATTGACAACAATATGATTTGCTAAATTTAGCATGCTTTGATTGAATTCATTCAGCGCGTGCACCTGTAGCAGCAATTTTTTCCTACTCTACTTGCTGCAGTTGTTGAAGTCTCCTTTAATCTTGATGTGCTACTCTTGTTTCAACAAAATACCACTTTTTAAAATTTTTACCTATTTATTTGTTTGTCTTGATGGCTTTTAAATATATTTTACAGTTATGAAATTTATAGAGTTGTACAAAACTCAGACAACATTTCAACTATCCTAAATCTCGGATAATACAGAAAGTACAGAAAACAATTTGCAAAAAGAAGAATAAAGTTATAAATTTTCATAAAATATATACTGCTTTGAAGCAGAATGTAAAAGAGATGCTAGTTCACTACTTACGTACTAATCATAATACTCTCTAAAAAGTATATCAAAATGCTGTTTCAAAGTGATGTTTCAGATTTTCCTTAAGTGAAAGACAGCAATAGAGTGGCTGACTCTTCTGCAACAGCTACTAAAATAGCTTGTCATCCATTTTGTGTAAGATAATTCAAAGAATTATTTATTGCGATTTTTTTTCTATATTCTTCATTCACTGCTTTTATATTACATATTGTTTTATTGAAATTCACTAAAAGTTGCAGATTAACAGACTTCTTTAGAATAAGGCTTCACCAAAAGAACTGTATCAGTTAATGATAATATTTGCAAAAATATAGCTAAAGCACATATCGTAATTTGCTATAAATCCGTTGAAAACATTCATACTCAGAACTCAAAGAACTGCATCAGTTAATGATAATATTTGCTATTGCTGTAAAATATTGCTAAATCACGTGATATGTAATTTGTTATAAATTCGTTGCATACACTCATACTCAAATAAGTGATGGAAAAGAAGTAAACTAGGGATCTTACTAGCTTTAAAATTTCGATAGATCAGTGTAACATGAAATATTTAGCTGGAAATCGTAACTCTCGCCTATGTGGTATGATATGAGGGACACAGCCCGATCCTCCTGGCAGGTTTTACGTCGCCTTATGGCCTTTTTGCGGGCTGCGCCAGAGCAAGCTAGAAACAACACCTTCAACAAACAGACATAAGGAACATAACCAAACAACAAAATTAAAATTAAAATCCCTACTGCAAGCTTATCATGATTAATCTTCTCCATCATTTTTCTGGCAAATTTTTCAGTCTTTTAAAATCATTTAAAATATCATATATATTAAAAACATCATTTTTCTTAAACTCGTTTCTGATATCAGTAAAATATTTACATGTTTCCACATAATGCTCTGCAGTGCCCGGTTCATTACAGGTATCAAAGAGGTCAGACTCTTGTAATTTAAACATTTTAAAATCGAAAGAAAAACGACCATGACCTGAAAGAAAAACGTAATGATTTGGTTAACGTCAATGTCTGAATAACATAAACCTTTTTTAAGTTTAACAAATTTCATATAACCTTTATTTCGATCAGATCTTTCCCATTCCTCCCTTCATTTATCATATATATAATTTTTCATAATAGTCACAGCTTTCCTTGTTGATCCCATTACATCAATATCACGAGCATTAACATCGGTAATTGCCTCCTTGGCCAGTGCGTCCGCCCTCTCATTTCCAAAATGTCCAGCGTGTGCCTTCACCCAATTAAACACAATATTTTGATCTTCTCTCAAGTCTTTATATAAATCTCTATTATCTACCATTAAAGGGGTGTCTTGATCAGGTCGTGAGAGAGCTTGAAGAAATGTCAGACTGTCAGAATAAATATGTATATCATATTTCCCTTTAAGAGTCTTCTTAATCCATTTCAGTAAATAAAAAGTAGCCATAGCTTCCGCTTGATGAAGTGAGTTATAAATATTGTGCTGAAATTTATTATTCTAAATCTCTGTTCCATAAAATATATAACATATGCGAAAGCAATGGCGTCTCCTAGACCTGACCCGTCTTTATAAATGTCAATTTCTCCTATTTTTGGAGCATCCAAATAATACGGAATAAAAATTCTTTCAACAGGTTAAATAAAAGTTAAATCACATTTTTCAAAAGCACTCCGTGTTACAATAGAATCTCCATATAATTTAAAATCAATATTTGCTATTCTTAAACGAAATTTATCATAATAGAAAACAAATAGTTTGGAGAGAGGGGCAACCGGTCAGGATACAAACAACCTCAGTAGAGGTCGTTCTGAAACATCTAGTTTCATACGAAGGCTAACCAGCTGCTCCGCCCGGCAACCCCATGCGCCTATGCCATACATAATTCGAGGAATCACAGCAGTCCCGTAGATTGAACTTATTATGGCAGTTTTCATAGACAGAATTTCACTGGGGAAGTTCCATCTGTAATAATTTTAAATATATTCTGATTTTTCATTAATCATATTAAAATGCGAAAAAAAATTTAATTTATCATCCACAATTACACCAAGATATTTAATTTCTTTTCTAAACTTTATTCTCTGATTCTTATATTTCAACCTAGGTTCTCGTGTCTGCTTTCCTGCACGGGGAAAGAACACAACATTTGTCTTTTGAATATCGAACTTTAATCCTTTTTTTTCTCCAATCTTCTAATTCCAGAACTAATTTATTAAAATATTCTTAGATTATTTCCAAAGATTTACTTTTTATAAGCACCAGAAGGTCATCAGCATAGGCTACCAAACGTATATATTCAGGAAAATGTCTTTTCAATAAATCATTTTTCAATGATGTTCCAGCACAGAGGATCACTAGAAGAGCCCTGAGGACAACCCTTGCTAGAATCAATAATTGTAGATTGACCATCTTCATTCTCATACACAATCTTCCTTTTATTAAAATAATCTATAATAACTTTTAAACTATTCCTTGGTATCTTCAATTCAAGTAACTTGACAAGGAGTGACGACCAACGAATAGAGTCGAATGCTCCAGTAACATAAAAAGAGACGCCACCAATTGGTCTAGCTTTATATTATCTCTTATAAAATCAATAACATTATATAATACATCCTCTATGCTCCGCCCCGATCAAAAACCATATTGATTAGAATACATAAATTTCTTCGTTTTTATATAATATTGTAAGCGATTTGCAATCAATTTGTCCAGCACCTTTCCCATCACCTTTAAGACACATATTGGCCTCATTCTATCATTGCTTTCAGGTATAAGAACTAGTTTTGCAATTTTACAAACCTCAGGAAAGAGACCATGTAACAAACACTTATTGTATAAATGCCGGAAAAAGCTAGGATAAAGCTGAAACAACATCTTCACTATGCCCGCATGTATGCTGTGCAAACCAGGGGAGCTTCTTGTACGAAGCTGTGCAATAACCGTCCGAATCTCATCCAGCATGAATTCTTTATCATCGACATTACATTCATTTATTTTTTCCAAGATGAAATCAAGATTATTCTGTATATGGATACCAGTTTCCAAGATCTCATGTAAAATTTCTCTTTTCACGTTCTTTACATTTTCTTCTCGATTACCATTAGGCCTTTTTAACATTATTCCCCTTTTTACCTTTTGAGTTGCGTGTTTAAAAAATCTATCAATAATAACAATTACTTTTCAAAAAGTAATTTAATTTACTTTCATATTTTGATTTCTTAATTAATTTTTTATAGATTGCTAATTCTCTCTTATAGCAGATCCTTCTATGAATTCTAACTTCTTCCGAAATGAATCTCATCTGATAGGATTTTCTTAATGACCGAACTCTTCTCTTCAACCTAGTTAACTCCGGCGATCACCAAGAGATTTTATTATCCTGTCTTTTTTTAATGCGAAGCAATTTATTTGTACGCAACACAAGATCTTTCTCCATCTACAAAATAATTTCATCCAACTGGGACTTAGTACCAGCCCTTATAATTCTCTCCTGATAACTCATAATCTTACTTTTCATTTTTACACAAAATTTCTTGATACGAATTGGATTCCTCGTAATAGTACAGGAACTAGTTTCTCTATATGCATTTCCATCCGCATCTAAAATCAAATATTTATGGTCACTAAGAGTTAATTCATCTGAAATAATAAAATTATAACCTGGAACACTTATATTTGAAGAGCCGATCACC